GTGATGCAGTAATATAGTGAACACTGTTGTGATGCAGTAATATAGTGAACACTGTTGTGATGCGGTAATATAGTGAACACTGTTGTGATGGAGTAATATAGTTAACACTGTTGAGATGCAGTAATATAGTGAACACTGTTGTGATGCAGTAATATAGTGAACACTGTTGTTATGCAGTAATACAGTGAACACTTCTGTGATGCAGTAATAGAGTGAACACTGTTGTGATGCAGTAATATAGTGAACACTGTTGTGATGCAGTAATATAGTGAACACTGTTGTGATGCAGTAATATAGTGAACACTGTTGTGGAGTAATATAGTGAACACTGTTGTGATGCAGTAATATAGTGAACACTGTTGTGATGCAGTAATATAGTGAACACTGTAGTGATGCAGTAATATAGTGAACATTGTTGTGATGCAGTAATATAGTGAACACTGTTGTGATGCAGTAATATAGTGAACACTGTTGTGATGCAGTAATATAGTGAACACTGTTGTGGAGTAATATATTGAACTCTGTTGTGATGCAGTAATATAGTGAACACTGTTGTCATGCGGTAATATAGTGAACACTGTTGTAATGCAGTAATATAGTGAACACTGTTGTGATGCAGTAATATAATGAACACTGTTGTGATGGAGCAATATAGTGAACAATGTTGTTATGGAGTAATATAGTGAACACTGTTTTAATGCAGTAATATAGTGAACACTGTTGTGATGCAGTAATATAGTGAACACTGTAGTGATGCAGTAATATAGTGAACACTGTTGTGATGCAGTAATATAGTGAACACTGTTGTGAAGCAGTAATATAGTGAACACTGTTGTGATGGAGTAATATAGTGAACACTGTTGTGATGGAGTAATATAGTGAACACTGTTGTGATGCAGTAATATAGTGAACACTGTTGTGATGCAGTAATATAGTGAACACTGTTGTCATGGAGTAATATAGTGAACACTGTTGTGATGGAGTAATATAGTGAACACTGTTGTGATGCAGTAATATAGTGAACACTGTTGTGATGCAGTAATATAGTGAACACTGTTGTGATGCAGTAATATAGTGAACACCCTTGTGATGGAGTAATATAGTTAACACTGTTGTGATGCAGTAACATAGTGAACACTGTTGTGATGCAGTAATATAGTGAACACTGTTGTGATGCAGTAATATAGTGAACACCGTTGTGATGGAGTAATATAGTTAACACTGTTGTGATGCAGTAATATAGTGAACACTCTTGTGATGCAGTAATATAGTGAACACCGTTGTGATGGAGTAATATAGTTAACACTGTTGTGATGCAGTAATATAGTGAACACTGTTGTCATGGAGTAATATAGTGAACACTGTAGTGATGCAGTAATATAGTGAACACTGTTGTGATGTAGTAATATAGTGAACACTGTTGTGATGCAGTAATATAGTGAACACTGTTGTGATGCAGTAATATAGTGAACACTGTTGTGGAGTAATATAGTGAACACTGTTGTGATGCAGTAATATAGTGAACACTGTTGTGATGCAGTAATATAGTGAACACTGTTGTGATGGAGTAATATAGTGAACACTGTTGTGATGCAGTAATATAGTGAACACTGTTGTGATGCAGTAATATAGTGAACACTGTTGTGATGCAGTAATTTAGTGAACACTGTTTTGATGCAGTAATATAGTGAACACTGTTGTGATGGAGTAATATAGTGAACACTGTTTGTGATGCAGTAATATAGTGAACACTGTTGTGATGCAGTAATATAGTGAACACTGTTGTGATGCAGTAATATAGTGAACACTGTTGTGATGCAGTAATATAGTGAACACTGTTGTGATGCGGTAATAGAGTGAACACTGTTGTGATGCAGTAATATAGTGAACACTGTTGTGATGCGGTAATATAGTGAACACTGTTTTGATGCAGTAATAGTGAACACTGTTGTGATGCAGTAATATAGTGAACACTGTTGTGATGCAGTAATATAGTGAACACTGTTGTGATGCAGTAATATAGTGAACACTGTTGTGATGCAGTAATATAGTGAACACTGTTGTGATGGAGTAATATAGTGAACACTGTTGTGATGCAGTAATATAGTGAACACTGTTGTGATGCAGTAATATAGTGAACACTGTTGTGATGCAGTAATATAGTGAACACTGTTGTGATGCAGTAACATAGTGAACACTGTTGTGATGCAGTAATATAGTGAACACTGTTGTGATGGAGTAATATAGTTAACACTGTTGTGATGCAGTAATATAGTGAACACTGTTGTGATGGAGTAATATAGTGAACACTGTTGTCATGGGGTAATATAGTGAACACTGTAGTGATGCAGTAATATAGTGAACACTATTGTGATGCAGTAATATAGTGAACACTGTTGTGATGGAGTAATATAGTTAACACTGTTGTGATGCAGTAATATAGTGAACACTGTTGTGATGCAGTAATATAGTGAACACTGTTGTGATGCAGTAATATAGTGAACACTGTTGTGATGAAGTAATATAGTGAACACTGTTGTGATGCAGTAATATAGTGAACACTGTTGTGATGCAGTAATATAGTGAACACTGTTGTGATGCAGCAATATAGTGAACACTGTTGTGGAGTAATATAGTGAACACTGTTGTTATGCAGTAATATAGTGAACACTGTTGTGATGCAGTAATATAGTGAACACTGTTGTCATGGAGTAATATAGTGAACACTGTTGTGATGGAGTAATATAGTGAACACTGTTGTGATGCAGTAATATAGTGAACACTGTTGTGATGCAGTAATATAGTGAACACTGTTGTGATGGAGTAATATAGTTAACACTGTTGTGATGCAGTAATATAGTGAACACTGTTGTGATGCAGTAATATAGTGAACACTGTTGTGATGCAATAATATAGTGAACACTGTTGTGATGCAGTAATATAGTGAACACTGTTGTGATGCAGTAATATAGTGAACACTGTTGTGATGCAATAATATAGTGAACACTGTTGTGATGCAGTAATATAGTGAACGCTGTTGTGATGCAGTAATATAGTGAACACTGTTGTAATGGAGTAATATAGTGAACACTGTTGTGATGCAGTAATATAGTGAACACTGTTGTGATGGAGTAATATAGTGAACACTGTTGTGATGCAGTAATATAGTGAACACTGTTGTGATGGAGTAATATAGTTAACACTGTTGTGATGCAGTAATATAGTGAACACTGTTGTTATGCAGTAATATAGTGAACACTGTTGTGATGCAATAATATAATGAACACTGTTGTGATGCAGTAATATAGTGAACACTGTTGTGATGCAGTAATATAGTGAACACTGTTGTGATGGAGTAATATAGTGAACACTGTTGTAATGGAGTAATATAGTGAACACTGTTGTGATGGAGTAATATAGTGAACACTGTTGTGATGCAGTAATATAGTGAACACTGTTGTGATGCAGTAATATAGTGAACACTGTTGTGATGCAGTAATATAGTGAACACTGTTGTGGAGTAATATAGTGAACACTGTTGTGATGCAGTAATATAGTGAACACTGTTGTGATACAGTAATATAGTGAACACTGTTGTGATGCAGTAATATAGTGAACACTGTTGTGGAGTAATATAGTGAACACTGTTGTGATGCAGTAATATAGTGAATACTGTTGTGATGGAGTAATATAGTGAACACTGTTGTGATGCAGTAATATAGTGAACACTGTTGTGATGGAGTAATATAGTGAACACTGTTGTAATGGAGTAATATAGTGAACACTGTTGTGATGGAGTAATATAGTGAACACTGTTGTGATGCAGTAATATAGTGAACACTGTTGTGATGCAGTAATATAGTGAACACTGTTGTCATGGAGTAATATAGTGAACACTGTTGTTATGCAGTAATATAGTGAACACTGTTGTGATGCAGTAATATAGTGAACACTGTAGTGATGCAGTGATATAGTGAACACTGTAGTGATGCAGTAATATAGTGAACACTGTTGTGATGGAGTAATATAGTGAACACTGTAGTGATGCAGTAATATAGTGAACACTGTAGTGGTGCAGTAATATAGTGAACACTGTAGTGATGCAGTAATATAGTGAACACTGTAGTGATGCAGTAATATAGTGAATACTGTTGTGATGCAGTAATATAGTGAACACTGTTGTGATGCAGTAATATAGTGAACACTGTAGTGATGCAGTGATATAGCGAACACTGTAGTGATGCAGTAATATAGTGAACACTGTAGTGATGCAGTAATATAGTGAACACTGTAGTGATGCAGAAATATAGTGAACACTGTAGTGATGCAGTAATATAGTGAACACTGTAGTGATGCAGTAATATAGTGAACACTGTAGTGATGCAGTAATAAAGTGAACACTGTTGAGATGCAGTAATATATTTTTAAAATTAAAAAAATGTTCCATTGTGTTTTATTATTGCAATTTAGACATTATGTGCGAGTTTGATTATTTTCGGGTCACTACAAAACTTCATTAAATATTGTTAATAAAAGTCGTAGTTTCAACAGCGGTGGAATTTTTAGCTAACCAAAATAATTACAAATGCTTTTGTAAAGGATTCATTTCTAATTTTAAATAAAGTGACATCATGGGAATTTTGTATTATTCAGACAGATGGGATAAAATTTCCCCCTCTTATTGTTGGTTAACGTAACTTGTGGCCCGGTGGCCCGGGGGCTAAACCCCGCTTCACACACGGAGGCCCGGTTCGATTCCGGGGGGTGGGAAAAATTTCGACACGTTTCCTTTCAGTTGTTGTCCTTTCACCTAGCACAAATAACCTGGGGGTTTAGTCGACTGGGGTTTGGGGCGCATCCGGGGGGCAAATTAAGGACCCCAAGGAAAAAGTTTTCAGTCCCCGAGAAACGCACGACTTTCTTGGTTATCCTGGGGGGCTACCCCCCGGGTTTTAAAAAACCGAACGAAATCTTATCTTATTTATCTTTTCTTCTAACAGAGACAGCGATGGGGGCGCAGCATCAATGCCAGGAAACAGTGAAACACAATACTTCAAACTGTCAGGGAAATAAGTTTTCCGATGCAAGTTTTTTAGTGACTTCAAACTTAACTTGTGGGGTATTTTGGTTATTATTTCTCCTCTATAACACGAAATCCCCTTTAGTTTGGCTTCAAAACCCTTTTTTTTCATAGTTTAAGGTTTTATTTGTTTTGCTGTGTAGTCCCAAATTTTTCCAAATTTTTAAAATTGGTAAATTTTCAATTCTAAATTTTAAAAGCTTAGAAAATTTTTGTCGAAATCTGATAATCTTGTCGCTTGTACAGGAGGTAAGCTAAGCAACTCGGGCTCTAAGTAACTTGTGGGGGGGGGCATCATTGACATACGAGGTAAGCTAACAACCGGGCTCAAGTAACATGGGGGCGCATCATTGACATACAAAGGGGAAGCTAAGCAACTCTGGGGGTCTTTTAAAAAATGTGGGCGCATCATTCAACAGAGGGAGGCTAAACAACTCTGGGGCTCAATAACTTGGGCGCATCATTTCATACAGGAGGGGAGACTAAGCAACTCTGCGGCCTAATAACTTGTGGGCCATCATTGACTACAGGGGGGTAAGCAAGCAAATCGGGGGTCTAAGTAACTTGGGGGCCATCATTGACATACAGGGGGAGAGCAAGCAACTCTGCGGGCCCAATAACTTGTGGGGCGCATCATTTACATACAGGAGGGAATTAAGCAAATCTGGGGCTTTTAAATAACTTTGGGCGCATCAGACTACAGAGGGTGAGTTTTAAACAACTAGCGGGCCCAAAAAAACTTTGGGGGGGGTCATTTACTACAGGGGTAGAGTTAAGCACCTCTGGGGGCCTAATAACTTTTGGGGGCCCTCATTTACATACAGGGGGTAGATTAACAACCCTCCCGGGTTAAATAACTTGTGGGGCCATCATTGACATACAGAGGGGAGAGTTTAACAACCGGGCTTTAAATAAATTGTGGGGCGCATCATTGACTACAGGAGGTAAGTTAAGCAACTCTGCGGGTCTAAAATAACTTGGGGGCGCATCATTGACAACAGGGGGGTAAGTTAAGCAACTCGCGGCTCTAATAAAATTGTGGGGGGCATCATTGACATACAGGAGGGGAGAGTTAAACAACTCTCGGGTCAAGTAACTTGTGGGGCCATCAAGACATACAGGGGGGTAGAGTTAAGCAACTCTGGGGGGTTTAAGTAACTTGGGGCGCATATTGAAATACAGGGGGGTAGAGTTAAACAACTCTGGGGCTTAAAAATAACTTGTGGGCGCATCATTGACATACAGGGAGGGTAAGTTAAGCAACTCTGGGGCTTTAAGTAACTTGTGGGGCGCATCATTGCAAACGAGGGGAGAGTTAAGCAACCTGCGCCAAAAAACTTGTGGGGCGCACATTGAATACAGGAGGGAGAGTTAAGCAAATCTGGGCTTTAATAACTTGTGGGGGGGCCCCATTGACATACAGGAGGTAAGTTAACAAATCCCGGGGGTTTAAAAACTTGGGGGGGGCATCATTGACATACAGGGGGTAAGTTTAAACAACTCTGGGGGTTTAATAACTTGTGGGGCGCATCAAGACAACAGGGGGTAAGTTTTAAACAACCGGGGGTTTAATAACTTTTGGGCGCACTTGACATACAGGAGGGGAATTTAAACAACTCTGCGGGTCTAAGTAACTTGGGGGGGCGGGCATTCTTGACAACAGAGGTAAGTTAAGCCCCTCTGGGGGTTTAATAAATTGTGGGCGCACATTGAATACAGGAGGGGAAGGTTTTGCAACTCTGGGGGTTTAATAACTTTTGGGGGGCATCATTTACATACAGGAGGTAGAGTAAGCAACTCTGGGGGTTTAAGTAACTTTGGGGCCATCATTGACATACAGGAGGGGAAGTTAACAACTCTGGGCTTTAAGTAAATTGTGGGGGGCATCATTGACAACAGGGGGGGTAGAGTTAAGCAAATCTGGGGGTTTAAGTAACTTGTGGGGGCGCACATTGACATACAGGAGGGTAGAGTTAAGCAACCGGGGCTTTAATAACTTTGGGGGCCACATTGACTACAGGGGGGTAGGTTTTAAACAACTCTGGGGGTTTTAAAACTTGTGGGGGCCCTCATTTTACAACGAGGTAGAATAAGCAACTCTGGGCTTTTAAATAAAATTTTTGGGGGCCCCATTGCCCTACAGGAGGAAGTTAAACAACTCGGGGCCTTTTTAAATAACTTGTGGGGGGCATCTTGACATCAGGGTAAGTTAAGCAAATCTGGGCTTAAAATAACTTTTGGGGCATCATTGCAACGGAGGGTAGAGTTTAAACAACCTGGGGGTTTAAAAATAACTTGTGGGCGCATCATTGACATACAGGAGGGTAGGTTAAGCAACCTGGGGGTTTTTGTAACTTGTGGGGCGCATCAATTTACATACGGGGGGGTAGAGTTAAAAAACTCGGGGCTTTAATAACTTTTTGGGCGCATCATTGCTACAGGGGGTAGAGTTAACAAATCGGGGGGTTTAAATAACTTGGGGCGCTCATTGACAACGGAGGGTAAGGGTTTAAACAACTCGGGGCTTAAGTAACTTGTGGGGGGCATCATTGACAACGAGGGGAGAGTTAAGCAACTCTGGGGGGTTTAAGTAATTTTGGGGGGCCCTCATTACATACAGGGGGGGAGATTTAAGCAACTCTGGGCCTAAGTAACTTGTGGGGGCCATCATTGACTACAGGAGGGTAAATTAAAAACAACTCGGGCTTTAAGTAAATTTTTGGGGGGCATCAATTTACAACAGGGGGGGAATTAAGCAACTCTGGGGGGCTAAGAACTTTTGGGGCGCATCATTGACATAAAAGGGGGTAAGTTTAAACAACTCTTGGGGGTCTAATTTAAATTTTGGGGGCATCATTTACATACAGGAGGGAGAGTTAACAACTCTGGGGGGCCAAGTAACTTGTGGGGCGCACATTGAATACAGGAGGGGAGGCTAAGCAACTCTGGGGGTCTAATAACTTTTGGGGCGCATCATTGAAAATCAGGCGGAAGCAAGCAACTCTGGGGCCAAAATAAAATTGTGGGGGGGCATCAAATTTCATACAGAGGTAGATTTAAACAACTCGGGCTCTAAGTAACTTGTGGGCGCACATTGACATCAGGAGGGTAATTAACAACTCTGGGGCTCAAGTAAATTGTGGGGGGATCATTTACATACAGGAGGGTAGAGCTAAACAACTTTTGGGCTCTAAGAACTTGTGGGGGCATCATTACACACAGGGGGGTAGAGTTAACTACTCTGGGGCTCAATAACATGTGGGCGCACATGACAAGAGGAGGGAAGCTAAGCAACTCTGGGGGCCCAAGTAACATTTGGGGGCCATCATTGACATACAGAGGTAAGTTAAAAAAACTCTGGGGCCTAAGTAACTTGTGGGCGCATCATTGACATCAGGAGGGTAAGTTAACTCTCTGGGGGTCTAAGTAACATGGGGCGCATCATTTACATCAGGAGGGAAGTTAAGCAACTCTGGGGCTCTAAGTAACATGTGGGGCATCATTGACATACAGGGGGAGAGATAAGAACTATGGGGCTCTAATAACATGTGGGGGGCATCATTCATACAGGGGGGTAAGCAAGCAACTCTGGGGCCTAAGTAACATGTGGGGGGCATCATTCATACGGGGGTAGAACTAACAACCTGGGGGTCTAAGTAACTTGTGGGGGGGGATCATTACATACAGGAGGGGAGAGTTAAGCAAAACCGGGCTCTAATAACTTTTAGGGCGCACATTGACAACAAGGGAGAGAAGCAAAACCCGGGGGTCTAAGAACTTTTAGGGCGCACATTTACATCAGGAGGGGAGGTTTAAGCAAATCTGGGGGCCCAAGTAAATTGTAGGGGGCACATTGACATACAGGGGTAGAAACTAAGCAACTCTGGGGGTTTAAGTAACTTGTGGGGAGCACATTGATATACAGGAGGTAAATAACAACTCTGGGGGTCAATAACTTTGGGGCGCATCATTACATACAGAGGGGAAGTTAAGCCTCTGGGGCTTTAAAAACACGTGGGGGGCAAAATTTACTTACAGGAGGTAGAGCTAAACAACTCTGGGGCTTTAAGTAAATTTGGGGGGCCTCATTTTACATACAGGAGGGGAAGCAATCAACTCTGCGGCTCTAGTAACTTGCGGGCGCATCATTTAATACAGGGGGGAGATTAAGCAACTCTGGGCTTTAATAACTTTGGGGCGCACATTGACATAAAGGAGGGGAGAGCTAACAAATCTGGGGGTCTAATAACTTTGGGGCGCTCATGACATACAGGGGGTAAGCTAACAACTCGGGGGTCTAAGTAATTGTGGGCGCATCTTGCATACAGGGGGGGTAATTAAGCAACACTGGGGGTCTAAGTAACTGTTGGGCGAAACATTTACATACGGGGTAAGTTAAGCAAATCGGGGAAATTTAAATTTTGGGGCGCATCATTGAAACAAAAAGGGAGAGTTTAAGCAACTCTGGGGCTCAATAATTTGGGGGGGGCCCTCTTGCATACAAAGGGTAAGTTTTAAACAACATGGGGTCTAAGTAACTTGTGGGCGAACATTGACATACAGGGGGGTAAGTTAAGCAACCGGGGGCCAAGTAACTTTTGGGGCGCACATTGACATACGGAGGGGAGATTTTAAGAACCTGGGGGTCTAAGTAACTTTTGGGGCCATCATTACAACAGGAGGGAGAGTTAAGCAAACCCGGGGGTCTAATAACTTGGGGCGCACATTGACATACGGAGGGGAAGCTAAGCAACCTGGGGGTCAAGTAAAAGTGGGGCCATCATTACATACAAGGGTAGAGTTAAGCAAATCTGGGCTCAAGTAACTTTTGGGGCGCATCATTTACATACAGAGGGGAGACAAGAAATCTGGGGGTCTAAGAACTTGTGGGGCGCATCATTGACATACAAGGGGAAGTTTAAACTACTCTGGGGGCCCAATAAATTTGGGGGGCCCTCATTGACTACGGGGGAGAGTAAGCAACCTGGGCTCTAATAACATGT